TAGAACTTTGGGTTTACCAGAAATATGTAAACTCTATCAGGGCTGATAAATCCAGAACTACACTGTTCTTTATGAAGTAAAATGTTCCAAATGATGAAACTGTGGATCATTTAATCCTTAGAGAATTTACCTATTTTAGAACTATGTATTCTTCTAAGGTTAATCCAAGAAAGAATTATTTATATATTATATAATATTTCCTTAGTGCTTTACTACTAAGTACTGTGCCGAGCGCTTCTCATTCAGAGTTTCATGGAATTCTTACCATCATAAGAGTTAGGAACTACTGCTATCACCATTTCACAGAGGAGGAAACTGAGGCAATAACTGAAGGAGCCAGACTGAGACTCAAGCACAGTGGCTGTACAGTATATGGAATGGTGCCACACAGGTATACGCACTGGCCTATACCTGTCTATTAACTTCCTTCAACTATGATATGTCTCAAGAAGACTTCCATTCATGCCAGTTTTGCATATAGTCATAATAATTAGCTGACTCCATTGTTTTCTTTCTGAAAAACAGAGAGTATCCAATTCTATATGAATATACCTCTGCTCTCCCTAGCATTCTTATTTCAGTATTTTAGATTAAATGAGCATTTCCTAAAGTGTGTGCTATGGAGCCTAAACCTTAGGGAATATTAATAATTATTATGCACATCCAAACAAAAAAGCAATAAGGTTCCATGATCTCATGAATTTAGGAAACACTAGGTTAAAAAAAATGTTGGAATAAGGGTTCTCAGTGTGTTCAACATACTAATGAATAATGTGAATCTCCAGAAGGAAGATATAGTGATAAGCCTGCTTTGCACCATAAGAAGACAAAAGGCTCAGTGAGCAGAATTTGAAGTTCTTGTGGGGAGCTATCCTTCTGCAGGCCTACTCCCAGTCAATGCCTTTGTGAGTCTATCCATTCAACAATCAAAGTTTCAATGGACTGGCATAGAATGCTGACTCATTCCATTGTTCTTAACATTTACAATGTAGACAATGTCAAATAGAGCTGTACAATCAATCCATGCCTTTGAAAAATATCAAGATAATGATTTCAGGAAAAATTTAAGCATGAATTGATCAGCCAAATTTGTTGACCTGATATGAGACATAACCCTAAAGTGGGTGAAGGATCTTCTGTACACAGCAAGAAGCTATGTGGTCTAGGTAGGGTCCCTCTAGGGCAGTGGGTTTCAACCTTTTTAATGCCACTACCCTTTAATACAGTTCCTCATGTTGTGGTGACCCCCAACCATAAAATTATTTTCATTGCTACTTCATAACTGTAATTTGCTACTGTTATGAATCTAATGTAAATATCTGTTTTCCGATGGTCTTAGGCTCTAAAATAGTGGTTCTCAACCTGAGAACCACTAGTGGGGTCGCCTAAGATCAGAAAACACAGATATTTACATTACCATTTTATTAACAGTAGCAAATTACAGTTAGAAAATAGCAACGAAAGTAATTTTATGGTTGGGGGTCACCACAACATGAGGAACTGTATTAAAGGGTAGTGGCATTAAAAAGATTGAGAACTACTGCTATAGGGCTTTTTTCTTTCCCCTTTTCTACTTTTTTTTTTTTTTCATCTATTCTGCTTACATCCAGAGAAAACAGTGAAGCATCCATCTGATATAAAAACTGCTGTTTGAAATTTTAACCCTGTTAATTGGTCTCTATAAATTATTGCTTGCTAAGACTACTCCCACTTTAGCAAGGCCATTAACCCTTCCCCAGACAAGGTTATCAGTGCTGGCACCAGGCTAGGCCTCTGATTGAGGTCTCAAAGCCCAGCATGTACAGGCTCTTTAAGAACTTGCAACTTGGAACCACTTCGTATTTGGGAGACAAAGAAGGTAAAATCATATAAATAGGGAGAATTTCTGCATGTGGAAGCCCAGAATTTGAGAGACATTTTCCTCTGGACCTGCATGTAATAAATGTAACTCCATCTCTCTGGTATTGCTTTGTTCTTGTTCAGTTTTCTGTAACAGCAAGATTTCTATGCTTCTTTTTTATCTGCCCTCATTTAGGAATGACATCCAGGAAGGACTTCCCCAAATCCTTAAATTACCTGTTTCTGATCCACTACAATCAATATATTTCTATTCCTATTATTAATCATACTCTATAAAAATTCATTTCAATTCAACTAATTCCCATAGATCAAACAGACTTTCCATATGTATATTATTGTGGGACTCTTTGTACAACACCTATTGGTATTCCTCTTACTCATCCTCCGCAAACACATTCTGGGAAGAGTGACATAAGCCAAGGAATGAATCCAGGAAACCAGGCAGGAAACAGAAGAGCTTTCATGGGAACCAGGTATGACTCATGGCTTATCCTTCCCACCCAGCATTAAAAGAGAATTATATGAAACACAACTTGTATCTATGTAATATGGTCAAGGAAAGGGAGATGTTTTGGGGTGAGAAAGCAAAGGAGTTTCTCAGCAAATCATTACCACTATTGTCAACTGCTTATCCTAACTATGCATACTGACCATCTTATGTTGAAAATGGTATAAAAATTTGAAGAAAAGTTGGGGGTGGAGGGAAGTTATTTAAAATCATACAAAAATAATTCACTTTCAATTTACTCAGAGGCAATTTGATATATTGATGATATTTTATGTTTAATCACCAAGCTAAGGATTAACCTATTTTTTAAAGCTTTTCCTGTGGTTACCAGTGTTCTTCCGTTCATATTAACCTCATGTTCTTCCTGGAAATACTTATTACACTTCTTATCATCTTATATCTTATCATCAGATATTAGGACACTGCCAACGCTTAAAGCTTTTGATAGTCCCTCAATCTTCAAAGTACTGTGCCCTAGAAATAAAAAGCTACTTCCTTACCTTACATCATAAGTGAGTAATAGTAATCTTACAGATCATTCAAATTTTCCTTATTGCTTTCCTGGAATTACTAGGCTAGTGTAGTACATTAATTTGTAGCATTAGGGAAGTTACATTCTTCCAAACTACTAATCCTTAAGGTTTTTCATTTAAGTAGCACCCCAGTTATATGCATAACCCATGCCATGGACACAGACAGCAGTGCGGTAAAGGCCTGGTTGGGGGGGGGCGGGGCGTAGAGTGTGGAGGAGAGTGGTGATATATATATACATACAGATATATATATATGTATATATATATATATCTATATTACTTTTATGCAAATAAATCTCTGCAGCCAATAATGATTTAGAGTTAAATTTCTTTTTCTAGGCTATGGTAAGAGGCAACTTAGGAAAGAAATGTACCTCATTTTCTCTAGAATATAAAATATTCCAAGTTGCAAAAATTAACACTTAAAAAGGAAATGTTATAAATAATATAGAGAAAAAGTATACAGACACAGTATGTGGGTGACTGGGGACCTCAATAAAAGCAGGGGGAAGAGCGAACCTTATAAAGATGAAATTTATTATTTTTCTAAATGATTCTTCTTCTTTTTTTTTCCAGATGAGGATAAAAATGGAAAGAAATAAAAGAGCCCGGGGGGCAGGGGGCCACCTCTTATAATCCATGACATGGTTAGGTCACTAAAATTAATGAATCTGAGACACATCTCTAAAGATTTGATACCTTACCAATTACAGGAAAAATCCAAAAATATAGCTAAGCTGATCATTTCATAAACTGAGCATCACTGGATCGAAGATTAAAAAGCTTTTTGCTATGTTGAACTTCAATGGGACAAAGTTCACTGATTCTACTGGAACTCTTCGGACTATTTTTAGGGCAGCTCTTTGAAGATGCCTTGGTTCTGTAATTTAAGTAATTTTTCGGTGGCTTCTCACTTTTCTCAATCTCAGTGTGACTTAACTGTTCTCGATCTCAATTTTCTTGTCTTTCCAATGTGGGTAATTATAGTACCCACTACATCAAGCCGCTGAGGGAATTAGATGAGATGATGTGTGAAAGTGCTTATAAGAGTGCTTAACACACGACTATTCAATAAATGGCAGCTATTACTATCTTTTCTGATACTTGTTATAATTTAGAAGGCCCTGCTAGCGGAATTTGAATTGAAATAACAACTCAGGGGATTACATCTCCCAAAAGCAAAGCGCATTAAATGTTTAATGAGAAACCTGTGGATTTACAATTTATCCAACAGCAAACAGCAGTCTCTGAGATGCTGAGAGTTTCCAGGCAACCAGGGCCTGGTTCCTTTACTGCACAGTGAAGAGGCAGCAGCCCACAGCCTGGGAGCCCAGCGCTGTCCTGGTTCAATCAACATCTCAACCGCAAAGTGTGTGTGCCTGAAAGACATCCCGTACCACAGGGTGGTAAAACTGTCGCTCTGGGAGTTAGAAATCTGTGACAATTATAGAGGTGGAAGCATACTTATGCAAGATACCCATTATCAGATGATAACACCTCTTAAAGATGTAATGGAAGATCAATACAATAGTACAAAACATAAGAGTGTTAGGAAAAGCAGAAATCTCAGGAAGTTTGCCAGGCAGAAGGCAAAATTTGAAGATGTGTTTTCAAGGGAAATGTTGAGGACTTTTGAGGAGAAACCTTTGTTAATCATCATAGCATACATAGCTGCTGTTACTGGCACTTATTCATCCTCACGTGATAATGGATAGATAGTTCAAGAGACAAATTCACAAAGTAACTATGTTTGTTTTTAAAAAGGAAATAAGGATAACTATTGCCTTTCTTAAGCACTGGGTCAATGACCAGCCAAAATTAGAAACATGACTTTCTGTGAAATCATTAGCAATGCAAATAAATGCACAGTTGCTCTTAGAGACAGGAGACTATATCTAACTGATATTACTAAACTTTAAATGAAATTTTGAGAAATGTAACCAACATTTTGGGAAAGGATTTTTATTTTTATGACAAAAATATAACTGAAAGCTCAGGACTCACTATTTTCATTATTTAAAGTAGCTTTAAATGCACATACAAATGCACCTGCATACACACACACACAGTCCAAGAGAATAAACAGAGTAAACACTTACTGTAATTTCATTCATGCTCAGAAGCTTCGGGCTGGGAGGCAAGGTGCCAAGACGATATTTGAAACCTTCTTCTAAAGTCATTCCCCAGAATTGACTATAGTTCTGGGCTGTCCATCTGCCTTACAAAGGAAAGAGAATAATATGTATAGGTTATATAATAACACTTTTATAAGTACATGTTCATTTATATTGCAGAAGTTATACAAATGCAAAGCTCACAAAATTACAACTATCATTGCAAGCTAGATTTATTTTTATATAAGTGATGCAATATTGCTTACTCTATTAGTGAAGTATTTGCTACAATCTTCCTAAATTAGGCATATTTCAATATGAGAAATCTAAGGCTGTAATAATATAGACTAAATTTAAGAATATAAAATATTTATAAACTGTATAGGGATTAAGTGGTAATAATAAGGCCAATATGTGCAGTTTTGAAAAAATGCCTTTAAATGCATTTTAGATAGAAGTTTGAATGTGCAAAACATATAGATTAAATACAGCAATCTATTCTATTTATAATTTAGATTTGAAAAGAAGTTGAACACATAAAAAGTAGTACCCATAAAAAATTGAGAAAATAGGTATTATTTAAAAGTTTATATCAATACCATAATAGTTTTGTTGAAATATTTTATTTAAATATTAAAATATTCTTTCATGTTAAGTGAGTTAATTTGTGTTAAGTGCTCAGTATTAGTTATTATTAGTAATTAATATTTATAATGATAAAAATTCAACTGATGTGAAGTTAAAATAAGAAAAGTGAATCTCTTTTTAGAGACATATTTGGTGCCATTACATAGAAAAATAAGCTTTGTTTTTGAGTTCTAATATTGATATTTGATGACAACAAAGATTTCTGAATGTTAGGAGATGAAAAATGAGAGAGATTAAAGTAATTTAATTATTGCTTGTTTGAATGATGTGAAAATTGAGGGCAATATATTTTAGTACTTAAATCTAAACTTTTTTCTGTTGTGTTTATTACCAAATTGTTTATAATGTGATAGGCTATTATGAATGATTGAAGATAAAACTCAATTTTCAATAATATGCTTAGCAAGTTAATGCTTTTCTTTTATAAGATCTGCCAGTTCATAAAACCTTAAGCAACTTTAAATCATAATTGTGAAGTGCAATTTCCATCACCCAAGGAATTTCAATAAGAAAACCTCCGACTATATTTGGTATCGCAGCATTATTTAAGAGACTAACAGAACAAGCCTTAGGCAAAATCACAACATCAGTAAAGTATGTTTTGGTGCCTTACACTAGTAGTTCCTATACATTCAGAGACATTGTGGACCATTTATTTAATCTCTAAGTTTAATGAACAGGGGTTAGTATTTTAAAAAATAAAATAGAATGAAGGAGAAATAATAGGAAATATTAGAATTTACTGCACACAATGAGTCTACAGGTAAGTACTGTTTATAAACATCTAGGGGTGTGTGTGTGTGTGTGTGTGTGTGAACTAGGTCACTGAGTTAAATGTATGTTTCTGGTTTTTTTGTTTGTTTTTAATATATTTTATTGATTTTTTATGGAGAGGAAGGGAGAAGGATAGACAGTCAGAAATATCGATGAGAGAGAAACACTGACCAGCTGCCTCCTGCACACCCCCTACCAGGAATGTGCCCGCAACCAATGTACATGCCCTTGACCAGAATCGAACCTGGGACCTTTCAGTCCACAGGCAGAACAGATATATAGACTAATGGAACAGAACAGAACCCAGAAATCAACCCAAGAGCATACAATGGAGTCAAGATAATCTCGTCAATAAAGGTGCTGGGAAAATTGGTCAGATACATGCAAAAAAATGAAATTAGATCACCAACTTACACTATACTTAAAAATAAACTAAAAATGGTTAAAGGACTTAAATGTAAGATGGGAAACCATAAAAATCTTAGACGATTCCATGGGCAGCAAAATATCAGACATATGTCATAGCAATATCTTTACCAATACAGCTCCTAGGGCAATGGAAACCAAGGAGAAAATAACAAATGAGACTACATCAAAATAAAAAGCTTCTGCACAGTAAAGTAAACCATCAACAAAACTAAAAGAAAGCCCACTGCATGAGAGAACATATTTGCCAATGCTATCTCAAATAAGAGTTTAATCTTCAAAATTTAAAGGGAACAGGTACAACTTAACAAAAGGAAGATAACCAAATAAAAAAAAAAAATGGGCAAGAGACATGAAAACATGCTCAAAGTCACTAATGATCCAAGAAATGCAAATCAAAACAAAGAGGTACCACCTCACACCTGTCATAATGGCTATCATCAACAAATCAACAAACCACAAGTGCTGGAGAGGATGTGGAAAAAAAGGGGTATATAGAGATTTGATCAGTGGCAGTGGAGAAATCCCAAGATAGACACCGACCAGCCTATTCCTCTTCCTTTCAGTTCCATAAAGGAAGCTGATGTTAGCACCTACTTCTTAATTTCCTCTTTGTAAGTGGAAAAGCAACCTAATTTATTAATCTTTCGAAAAGCATCAAACAGTTATTTCCTATGTGTGTCAGTCAGCCCTATCTTTCATTTTAGTAAGAAGGCTCAATCTTTCTTTTGACTCAACTGTAAGTGAAATAGACTAGATATCAGCAGGTCAGTGAAACTGTCTGTATGGATTATTTGGGGATCATCAAGATATAGCCCTGTCCAGTGTGGTTTAGTGAAAAGAGCATTGGCCCCCACAAAATGGTCTGGGGTTCAATTCCTGGTCAAAGGCATATACCTGGGTTGCAAGTTCAATCCCTAATCCTGGTTAGGGTTCATGCAGAAGACAACCAATAGATGTGTCTCTTTCACATTGATTTTTTTTTTCTCTCTTCCTCTCCTACTCTCCCTCTCTCTCCTCCCTCCACTCTCTAAAAGCAATGGGAAAAAAACATCCTCAGGTGAGAATTTAAAATAAAAAAGATCTAATACTGCCTTCATAAGGCTAGACTTCCCAGGAGAGCACCCTGCTCCTTTCTACACAATTTAAAACCATGCACTATATTTCTTTTTTGTATATTTTAATTTTTAATTACTTAATACTTCCTTATATGCATCCCAATTTTACATGCCTTTCAACTTCTCTTCCCATTTCTTTCTTTTGAAATGACTATTTTTAGAAATAAATAATAGAAAACACATTGCCTGTAATCTGAAATGTTACTGGGAGTACCAAAAGCCTATAAAGCAAGATTTCACTCACCCATAGTCTCCATTATTGACATGTTCAATTAACTCTGGTTCCATGAGGCATACATGCTGGGAACATTTCCATTGCTGTCCTGAACATGTGCTGCAAAGATATAAAAGTTACAAAGGCGGCCTGACCTTTATGGAGTCCGTTTACAAAATTAGTAACCAGAGTTCTTAAGGCCTAAAACATAGCAAAATGTTTATAATTAAGAGATATATAATGCAGGCCTGCTGTATTATGAAGGCCCACTGTCATGAACATCGAACTCAAGCAATACAAAATATATTCATGATTAGAATTTTTAACATTCATTAAAATTAAATATGCTTATACAAACTATGGTAGATATGTGATATCTTATTATTTATGATTCTTTCTAGATAGAACATAATTTTGTTTCACAGATGTTCCTTTTATTTGAAGAAACGCACAGTAGAATTCAGTTCAGTGCCACTTAAATCCATTACCAGGAGTTGCAGTTTTCTTTAATTGCTGATCCTTCTTCATAATGTCGACCATCTCTGAGACAACCTGTCAAAATAATGTAAACAAACGAAAATTCTAAATTGAGCAATAAAGTGCCTCCACACAACAGGTAATCTACAATTGTGTTTAGTTTTTCAATTATGCAAAAATATGTGGTGCTAACCTGATGGTAATTCACATCTGGTTTGTGTCAAGTTTTATGTATCAAATTCTTCTGGGCTTACTCCAGGAGCTTTTATCTTTATACAGCATATTATATTCCAACAGAGAGGATTTGTGAAGCTTGGAAACTAGATTATCAAGCTTGGAAGCTAATCACTAACCACACTAAAAAAAACAACAATACTATGTCTTAATAGGTAAGCAATAAAAGTGCTTAAATAGACTTATGCCATTTCTCATTTTTAAAGATGTAAGTCTCATGTAAATGTGACTAATTGCATGTGACTAGAGTAAGAAGCTCAAAGTTTTGTACAAAATGTAAAACTATTTCATTGAATTCACCTGACCGAAAAAAAAAAAAAATTCTATTTTTTCTTTAAGATTTAGATCAGGAGAAAATTTCATGAAACCAATAAGAGTGCTGCTATTTATGTTTCAAATCCACTGGAGTTTTTTTTTGTTTTGTTTTGTTTGTTTGTTTGTTTTTCTTGTTAGCTACTTGCTAGCTAGTTTACTAGCATATATAAACTACTCAAAAGAGATTAATGGGGAACTATCATCATATAAAAACCACCATTAAGATATTGTGAAAATAGTACCCTGGTTATATATAAAATCTCTTTTGAGAAAATCCTATGTAATAAAATCCTAATATGAAAATCAACTGAATGTCAGAACAATCAGTGGAAAGACCAGTCACTATGATGTGCACTGACCACCAGGGGGCAGACGCTCAATGCCAGAGCTGCCCCCAGCCCGCAGGTCCCAGGTCAGTCAAAATGGTTGACAGTTGCTACCCCTCCTCCCCCCATCACCTCACCAGTTGCCCCACAGAGGGAGGCAACTGGCAGCAGCAAGGCAATCAGGGGATGAGACTGGCAAGTAGGTGGCATCAGGCTGGCCAAGGTGGGTGCCAGTGCCCCCCCGCCCCGATCACCCCACCAGTTGATTGCCAGCCAGGCCTAGGAAACCTACTTGTGCATGAATTTCATGCACCAAACCTCTAGTAATTTATACAAATTTAAAATTCATGCTTTCTTAGCAAAGCAGCAAAAATCAAACTACTTCACACATAAAAACTTTTTGACAGAAACATGTCATTAATAGATCACATCAATGGCCCCTAATTAAACAAAATGAATTTTAACTTTTTAGTCATCCAATCTTAGGGGAAAATCTACATGTTTAGAAAACATTTTAATGTCTGTTATAACTACCAGCCATAATATCACCAGAGCCACTTATGAAAATAACTATCCTCTATTTTTTTTTCTTCAAAAAGTTGTTTTGTAGGAAACATTTCACAACTGCCATTCATCAGTATAGATTGTGTTTTCACAGCCCAATATTTTGCTTAAGGAAAGAATCTAAAATCTCTGTATAAAGACATCCATTCACTTCTTTCCCATGGATTTTTGGCCTTTCATAATATAGGGAAGGAAACCACTCTGTCCTGGTTTCTTGATATAGCAAAGAAGAGGAGAAAGATTCAACTTTAAATTAAATTCAAAGTTTTAATTGTTACCCACAATTATACACTTTTAATAAGTGAATGTACACTATGTTTTTAACTTAAAAGGATCCTAAAACTTTCTATTATCTAGGAGCAACAGAAAATTCATGCAATGATTCACATTAATTCAAAGTCAAGGGAAGTACTTCTCGGATAAGTTTTATAGGAAGAATGGGTGGTTAACTCAAATATGATCTTTCACCATCCCCCAGGAATCTTACTTGTCCATCATACCAGTTATGTATTATAGAAAAAGGGAACAGTACTCATAAAGTTCCGAAGGGAGAACTTTACTGCATCAATTTAGAATAAAGCCAAATTTTTACAGTAACTTATAAGATCCTACCCAAAATGCCTCTGCCCACCTTACTCCCCTATCCTAGCTGGGGTTGGGTTCCCAGAAACGGACGGACTTGCATGATAGAATGGAGAAAAGTAAAGAGGCATAATTTAGAGGTAAAGCAAATGGAACATGGATTGAGTTTGGGGAATAAAAAAGAAGAGGAATCAATGGTGTTCCACTAGGATTTTGCCTTTAGCAATACAGGGACAGCGAAGTTGTTATTAAAGTAAGGAATAGGCTTGTGGCAAGAAATCCAAAGTTCTGCTTTGCCTGTTTTAGGTTTGAATTAAATCAAAGTTAGACATCCTATTGGAGAATGTCAAGTAGAGTAGTTGATGAAAATTCAGAGTAAAGTCAAGACTGAAGCATGAGTTTGAGATACAACAACATACATTATTTTTAAAGCCTTAATGTAAAATAAGAGCCCATTTGAAAGATTGTATATAGGTAGAGAAAGAGGTCCAGAATTGAGTTTTAAAACACTCCAGCCAACAAACATTCAGAAGAGGAAACTGGGAAGGAGTGGCCTATGAGGAGGTAGCAAATTCAGGAGGGAGTTTCATCTTGGAAAGCAAGAGAAGAAAGTATTTCAAACAAGCATAAGTGGTAAATTGTGTAGAATAGTGTGAGGAGGTCAAGAAAATTATACTAGACAACTGAATATTGTATTTAGTAATCTGAAAGGGTCAATAACCTTGCCAAGAGAGATTTCACTGAAGTAGCAGAAAATGAAATCTTGTAGGAATGGCTTGGTAAGAGAATTAGAAGTCAAGAAGCAAAATGTTTTGTTTGTTGATGTTGTTTTTATTTATTTTGGAAAAAGGAAATGGGAGAGTAGCTGTTCAAGGAAATGGAATAAAAGGTTTGTGGGTATTTTTTACAAAGTTGGGAGATACAAAGACATTTTTTTTTAAATTGATAGTTGATCAGGATGGAAGGAGGGAAATAATGTTTTATTAGAGAGAGTGGGACAGAAGGGAGAGATATAGAGAAGAAGGGGGAAGAAGGGGGAGAGGTAATTGCAAGGGTGAAGATCTTGAAAATAGTAACCTGAGTATGGGATTCAGAAGTCAAGAGGAGAAATCAACTCAAAGTGAGCAGTAACCCAGATGGAAGTAGGTTGGAAATTATGATGATAGAAAAATAAGACAATTCCTGGTGGCATTATTTTCACAGTGAAATATGTACAAAACACCACATAGTGAGTTAATTAAATTGGTTACACATATAGCATTTTGACACACACACAAAATAATGACTCCTGAAATTAAGGGAGACTTGCAACTTTAACAGCCACTAATATAAAATATTTGGAGAATGAAACAATTGGTCTATTATTGTGAGGAAAAATGATAATAAGATGTCTGTAATTTATTTTAAAACACTTCATCCTAATGTGTTATAATGCTATGAGGGTCTAAACTTCACATTAGGGAATGAAGTTACTGCTCTAATCAGGATTCCAGACCCCAGCAGTGGTCAATCTGAAAGGCCTGATTCCAGGGCAGCTGCTACAAGTGCCACCATTACTCTAGTATTGATGAATACTAGAGTGTCAGTATAATGAATGTCAGAAATGGGCTTTCATTGGTAAAACTAGTGGCTTGTTAATCAGCATAATGGATATAAATAATCAGCCCTTACTGGTTAAATTAATAGCATTCAATTTATGTAGATTACATAAAATATATTAAATTTACATTCTACTCCTATACCTCATCATTTATATGTATCTCTTAAGGTCAAAAGCCTGTACTCTTAGACTGGTTCCCTGTTATTGATCTCTAAAAGGTTGTTTCCGTCTACTGGTAGAAGGATTTCTCATTCTCTGACATCTACTATAAGGATAACAGAGTCCTACATCTGTAATATTATAACATGTGCTGCTAATTTTCACGCAAGGTAGATTTCAGAACATCTTAAAGGACGGTGGCTCATATAGCTTACAGAGGTTGTATCAATTGATTTATGTCTCCTTACCAACATATATTTTTGTGCCTTAGCTCAGTAGTCAGCAAACTGCGGTTCCTGAGCCACAAGCAGCTCTTTGGCACCTTGAGTTTTTAGCAAAGGCCAGATAAGGAGTACCCTAATTAAATTAGTAACAATGTACCTACTTATATAGTTTAAGTTTAAAAAATTTGGCTCTCAAAAGAAATTTCAATTGTTGTACTGTTGATATTTGGCTCTGTTGACTAATGAGTTTGCTGACCACTGCCCTAGCCAGTTAGTCTCAGTGTTAGTGTTTTCAGTGGTTGGTCAGGGTGAGTGCAGGAAGTAGCTAATCCATGTCTATCTCTCACATCAATGTCTGTCTCTCTCTCTCTTTCTCTCTCTCTCTCTCCCTCCCTCCCTTCCATGCTCTCTAAAAATCAATGGGAAAAAATTTTCTCCAGTGAGCATTAACAACAAAAACACATATATTTTTGTAAATATCAGTATGTATGACAGACAGCATTTCATCTGTGATTTATTTTAATTATAATGTGGTTAAGGTACTTATGAAGGAATAAATAACCCTCATCCAATTCAAATGTGTCAGTGACTTACACACTTTTTACCAACGTGAACATGCATTGGTTGTAATCAAATTAGCTTCAGTCTGCTCATAACAGATGGTATACTAGACTCTTTCCTGAAGATCTGCTACACCAAAAGATTCTGTCTGCAAAATCCACTCTGGTTCTATTCCAAACTCTATCACTTGTTTTCTGTAGTTGACATTTGAAATCCTCCAATTACTGGAAGTTACCATCAGAAAGGAGGAAAAAAACACAGAAGGAAGATATTTATGGATATGCCCTACTTCCAGTTTATACAAAAGCGATGTGATTTTTCAAAAATTCTCAAGATATTGTACATAGTTTTAAGTCACTGGTTTAAAATGAACTCCTAGAATAGGTATGGTACATAGAACTAGACAATACCATTTTACTAGATGACTGAAAAAAAACATTATTTAATAGATCACCAAATTAACAGCACATCTCAGAGGAAAGTGACTGTATACATGCAAAATTATATAATATACTATTGTATTTTCATTTTAATTTTGCACAGTTTTTCAATGTTGTGTAGGAATATTTTCTTTCAACCAGTTAGTTCCATAAGCAAGATAAAACAAAAGAAAAAAAATTACCTTCATGAGAGTAATTATAGTCTAATGTGAACTTTTTGCTACTAAATAAGATGATTAATTGCTTCCCTCCATAATGAATGCAATAAAAACTGTACCTACATAAATTCTACCCAAAACATGATCTTAAATTAAAGTCTTAGCAAAATTCTAGCTCTCAAGCAAAAATGAACATTGAAGAAACTGCAATTACTTTTCTAACGAGTCTCTATGTCCCAAATAAGAAAAACTCAAAAGTGCCGCAACTAATATATTATATATTAAACTCAGAACCCGTGAAGCCAACCTTATTCCTACTTAACCTCTTTCCCTGAGTTCTCAAACAAAATAAATTCTTAAATCTTTAATATGATCCATAAATGCTCTCATAATCTGACCTCTATTCATCTCGCTAACCCCATCTCATGTCAGCCTCAACCCTTTAGTAATCATTCCCAGAAATGATGGGTCTCCTTACAGTTCCTGAACAAAGCTCTTCAGTTTCAGATCTGAAACAGCCCTCAGTTTTGTTTTTGTTTTGTTTAAATATATTTTATTGATTTTTTTTTTACAGAGAGGAAGGGAGAGGCATTGAGAGTTAGAAACATTGATGAGAGAGAAACATCATCAGCTGCCTCCTGCACAGCCTCTACTGGGGATGTGTCCGCAATCAAGGTACATGCCCTTGACTGGAATCAATCAGGCTGGCATGGGAGTGGTTAGGAGATGATCAGGCTGGCAGGCAGAAGCGGTTAGGGGCAGTCAGGAAGGCAGGCAGGCAAGCAGTTGGGAGCCAGCAGTCCTGGATTGTGAGAGGGATGTCTGACTGCCCATTTAGGCCCGATCCTGGTGGGGTCCCAATTTGGAGAGGGTGCCTGCCAGCCTGATCAGCCCCTAACCACTCCCATGCCAGCCTGATTGATGTCTAAATGCTCCCCTGCCCGACTGTTTGCCCCCAACTTCCCACCTCTGCCAGCCTGATCACCCCTAATTGTCCTCCCCTGCAGGGTTGATCGCCTTCAACTGCCCTTCCTTGCAGGCCTGGTCCCTTTCATCTGCCCTCCCTTGCAGGCCTGGTACCTCCCAACTGCCCTCCCCTGCTGGCCATCTTATGGTGGCCATCTTGTGTCCACATAAGGGCAGGATATTTGACCACATGTGGGCAGACATCTTGTGTGTTGGAGTAATGGTCTATCTGCCTATTACTCTTTTATTAGATAGAATAGAGGCCCGGTGCACAGGGCCAGCTGGTTTGCCCTGAAGGGGTCCTGGATTAGGGTGAGGGTTCCCTTAGGGTGTAGGGTGGCCTGGGCAAGGGGCCTGTGGTGGTTTGTAGGCCAACCATGCCCCCTGAAGACCCAAGCCCTGGTATCTGGAATTTATTTACCTTCTACAATTGAAACTCTGTAGCCTAGAGCAGAGCCAAGCCTCCTATTTGCTCTGTGGCCAGCAGCCATTTCTGTTTGGATTTGTTTAACTTCTATTATTGAAACTTTGTAGCTTTGAGTGGAGACCTAGGCCAGCAAGGACAGGAAGAAAGCTTGGCTTCCTTCATTGCCTGGGAAACCCAAGTCTCACTACTGTTCTCTGTGGCTCTAGCCATCTTCATTGGGTTTATTTGCATACTCACTCTGATTGGCTGGCTGGTGTGGCTTGTGGGTATAGTGGAGTGATGGCTAATTTGCATAATACTCTTTTATTAGGTAGGATTTCCATAGAATTGACATTTATCTCAAGCCTTTGCCTTTATCAGCAAACAGTTCAGCAAATATTTATTTAATCCTAAAAAGTGGAAGATACTCTACTAGTAGGAGAATTAGTTATACATAAAAAATTACTCATTGAATGTCCTCACTGTGCCAGCAATGGCATTTAGTTCTGGGCAACAATGGAGAAGAAAAAGGCAAGATTTTACTCTTGTTGAAGTATCAGTCAAGTTGGAGTGTGTGTGTATAAAATATTTAACAAAGTCCCTGCACAATTGCAAATGGTGATAATGTCTCTGAAGGAAACATTTAGAGTGCTGTAAGAAACTATATCAGAATATAGCTAATATATAAAATTATATGTACATTTAGCCTGTGGGAGGGGGCAACAAAGGAAGACATTTAAGTTGAGACTTGAGGAATGCAGAGAAGGGATCTGATCTGAAGAACTGAGGGCTCACCCTAACTAGTGTGGATCAATGGATAGAGCGTTGGCCTGTGGACTGAAAGGTCCCAAGTTCGATTCCGGTCAAGGGCATGTACCTTGATTGCAGACACATCCCCAGTAGGGGCTGTGCAGGAGGCAGCTGATGGATATTTCTCTCTTTTACATGTACCCTATATGAAGCCCTCATTTGTTTTTAATAGTTTAAAAGTACCAGATTGGCCCTAGCCAGTTTTTCTCAGTGGTTAGAGCATCAGACTGCAGGCTGAAGGGTCTCAGGTTCAATTCTGGCCAAGGTTACATGCCCGGCTCCATCCCCAGTGGGAATGTGTGCAGAAGGCAGCCAATCAATGATTACTTCTCATCATTGATGTTTCTTTCTCTCTCTACCTCTTCCTTCCTCTCTGAAATCAAGAAATATATATATACAATTTTTTTAAAGTCCCAGATTGGCAAAACAAAACAAAAATATACATGAAAAAATCTACTTAGTATTAGGCAGGAAGGGTGGCTAATTTTATTTTGCTTTTGTGCTGGTTTTAATGGCATTGAAATAGCACAAATTCTAATGGTAAGAGGTCCTTTAATCCCATGAAATAATAAGTAAAATAGTACATGAATCTGCAGATGATTATGTGACTTTCATGAGATCCTCTAAGAGGTTACCTTCAAGAAATCTTGAGAGTCCTGTTGAAAATACAATTTACAAAGGAAGAAAAAAGTGTTTGCCATAACTTATGTAAGTTGAGTGTGCGTTCAAAACAGGATTCAGACCAGCATTCATGACCATCACACCAGAACTTTCTCAAAACTGTTAGTATGGTTCAGATACCCCACATATAAACCAAAGCACTTTAACAATCCAAAAAAAAATTATTTTAGTTATCACAATATTCATTCCTATTTTATCTTAGGAAAGAAGGGAGGGAAGGAAGGAAGGAGGAGAAGAGGAAGAGACAGATCTAGTTATAAACTAGCAGAATGCTTAAGCATATTACCAAAGCCTACCTTCTGGATACCAACCTTAAACACATTACCAAACACCTACCTTCTGAGTGAGGAGGCCATTCTTTCTCTTCATGGCAAAATGACTTGTAATCAGGACAGCAATCAGGAATGTCCCTTTCACAGAATTTATCACAGTAACACAGTGCATTCGCCTCATAGAACTGAGTGACACAGTCATCATCTCTGTCTTCACAACAACCAAAACTTCTACAGTACTGCCCTTTGAAAATGGCTCTTTTGAATCGAGTACCTTCCAAAACGGTGTGATTCCTTGTGAAAGCTCCTTCCTGGTCCACTTGTCTTTGAGATACGTACTGTCTCTCCATCCAAATTTCTGTAAGAAGAGAAGAGAAGATTAAGATCCTATACCGGGTCCACATTCTCTACAGCTCAGGTATGGCTCCCACTTTCTATTATATCCAGTATATAACTTCTTGGAGTTTCTTCTTGGAGCCTGGATTCTAATAAAGGCAACTCAGCCTGAATCCTGATACTGATCCTTCACTTGAACTGAGTATACTTCTTGTAGTTAAATATTAATCAAGAATTTAAATGTTTACTCAAGATGACGTAAGTGTTAGAAAGAGACCATTGTAATTCCTTTAAAGTTAAATATTTATATTTAATATCAAGTAAAAAAAAATCTTCATTATAAAAAAATAAATACATAGATGAAATATTGAATATTGCTTGTTTCCCCAAAAATGTAACTTCTTATATCAAAAACCTCTCTAGAATATGCATGGCCCAAATAATGACTGCAATAACCACTGTCACGGTATAGAAAATTCAAAAGTCAAAAACACAATTATTCATTTTACCTACTTGCATTGCAACAAAAATTCAGGCTCTCATGAGGTTGCCTGCTAGGATCTGTCATATCAATAATAGTTGTTCTAAATCATGCCCAGTCACACACTGGTTTGATTTCCCATCTGTACTTTATTTACCTACCAGAAACATGTTGATTTCAAGTTTAGAGGAGCCTAATTCAGCTAGAAATTCCCTGAGGGTGACAGTTCTCTCCACCGGAGTCCCTACTTGGCATCAATATGAGAACCTGCAGTACCTGGAAGGCAGTTAGAGTTCAGGAAAGTCAGTACTCTGTGCTAAGGAGCTGCAGGGGGGAGGAAACAGAAAAGAAAACTCAAAGGTCAAGATGTCCTTAGTGTTTCTGTAGACCTGCACATGTATAATGGGTTTTGCTAGACTGCATTTATTCATTAACTATGATAACTCCTTTTGGATTGGGGATAAGTAACCAGGAGACGATGATTCAGCAAGAGGAGTTGGATGGTCTAGTGGAAAGGGCTTATCTTGACAATCAGAAAACTTGGACTCTAGTCCCTGAGCCACTGTTTAATTGGCTTTATGACTTAGGATTCGAGATTTGCTTCCCTGTACTCAGGTATTTTCCTATAAAACCAGGGTTTTCCCCTTCAAAGCTAATTCCAACCCTTTAAGCTTGTTCCCTGACTTTGTTTCATAAATTATTGGACTCATACTTTTATCTTAATTGTTGTACTTTCTTCTGGCACCTTCCTTTTTTATCTTTTTTTGTTTCAATTTTACATCATCTTGGTGTCACTCTCCATAGTCGCCCTGCCTCTCCAGTCCAAAAGCTGCTGCCTCCACTTCCTTGTCATGCACTGGGAATCACTAAACTACACCAAAGTGCTGTTTACATTCCCACGTACATTCGCCAGTGACCTCTCAACACCCAGTTCCCATCTTTATAATACATGGAATTTGTGCAGCACTTAGTCTGTATACAACTGGTTAAAAACAGGAGCCTAAATTAGACTAATGGAGTTCAAATCCTCCTTTTACCACTGGAAAGTGGCTCAGTCACTCGGCCTCAATTTTCTCATCGACAAAATTTGATGAATAACATTTATTATCACATCAGGTGAATGGAAAGTTAAAATGAAATAATTTATATAACATATCCCACATACTAGATAACTATTAGTTATCATGAGTTAATATATTTTTCACCTAGAAACTTTTTCCTCCTTTGCCTTCTATAATTCATTCATTCCTAATTCTCTTCCCTTTCTTAGTAAGGCTTCCAAATATCTATTTATTCTTGGACCCTTTTTCTTCCCGTCTCAATGTTCATTTAAAATATATTTTCACCAACATTCTCAGTCCATTCCCTCCCTACTCCTCAGACCTCATCTTTCCTCAAATTTACCTAGTACTGAATTAACCTAAAAGCTATGGGCCACAAGATCTTATACAAACCTTGTTATCTCCCTTATTATCTCCCTGACCTTCATTTAAACCACTTGAGCCCTTACTCAGATTGCCACTAGTCTTTCCATTCCTCAACACACCAGGCACACAACTGTCTTAAGACCTTTGCACTTGCTTTGATCCGTGCTTGGAACACACATCCCAGATATCCACATGGTTCAATATTTCACTCTTTCAAGTGTTATTTTTAAACTATACCTTTGCAGAGAGGCCATGCCTACATTCCCTATCTAAAATGACACTTCTCTCTATGCCCTAACTGGTGTGTCTCAGTGGATAGAGCGTCGGCCTGCAGACTTTAAGGTCCCAGGTTCGATTCTGGTTAAGGGCTTGTACATTGGTTGTGGGCACATCCCCAGTTGTGGTTGTGCAAGAGACAGCTGATCCATGTTTCTCTCTCATTGATGTTTCTAATACTCCCCCTCTCTTCCTCTCTGTAAAAAAATTAATAAAATATATTTAAAAAAATAAAAAACAAAATAAAATGACACCCCTCTCTAGCTCCAGCACTCCCTACCCCCATTCTCTGTGCTTATGACTAATATACTATAATATACTATAATTTTATTAATAAATTTTATTTATTTTTTCCTCTAGAATATAAGATCTACAAATCATAGAATTTTGTCTATTTAGAATTTGTCTGGTTTTTTTTCCTGCAACATGCAGAGCCTGAAACATATTTGTCATTCAGTATACATTAACTCATTCAATGGATGAATTTTCAATTTTCATTTCCTGCCCCTGTATTACATCTACTGAGTACTATTGATGACCCACAAGCCCACAGAATTGGTGCCACCACACATTTTTGGATTTTTATCTCAGTTAAGCTGTTAAATGCCACTGTCTTCCATTTTTCTTATGACTGTTACAAACTTTGCTTTCCTAACTTACTAGAGATCATCACTTTCTAGGGATGACTTTATCTCAGAGGTTACCAAGAAAACAAAGAAGCCATAAACCTATCTATATTTGCGGCCATCTTTTTAGGTTCAGAAGATGAGGTGTCATTCTGCTGTTAAGCAATTCTTCCACTTAGGATTTTTAGTCTGTGACCATTTAAGCTATTCTTTTGCTTGTCTCTTTGTTCTTATTCATCTTCAAACCCCCTCATGTGGGTCCTTTAATCTGATAGTAGGGTTATAGCAGACACTATTGTCACCCTGCTCATATTCCCACCATCCTTATTTTAGAACAAAGCTAGCTAAAATTTCAATTTTATGAGTAATTGAGCAGAGCTCAGTCCTTGCCCCATACCAGCACATAACAAGCCAGAAGTGCTAAAGAATTTACACCCTCCCTGTAGGCCAGAAGCAGCCTTTATGTGATACCTAGAGGAAGAGGTGTATATGTACCTCACTCTCCAGACACTGGGATGAGTTATCTCTGATATCCTCACATAGGTAGCCCTCATTCCCAGGTAAGAATGGGAGTTCCATAGGCAGGGGAATTGCCAGTGGTGCCCTAACTTATTTGTTTACAGCTCACAGTTAAATACTGCAATTTATCATTGTCTGCTAAGTGTTATCTACTGATTACAACATCCCACTTTCACCAAAATCTGTTCTCTAAATTAACAAAAGCTTTAAAATAGTCCTGCAAAGGAACTTCACCTTGAAAGTGGCATATTGACACAAGTATTTCTACTAATGTATTCCTTTAGATCAGTGCTTTTCAACAGGGGAAAGTTTGCCTCCCAAAAGAAGTTTAGCAATGTCTGGAGATAGTTTTTACGATGCTGACTACAGAGGTTCCATGAGCTTTCGGTACATAGAGGCTAGGGATCTGCTCAACATCTCAGAATGTGCAGGTCACAACCCCCAACAAAGAATTACCTGACCAAAAGTGTTAATGACACTGTTGATAAACTTTTATCTACACTTGTTACAAAAAATTTTAAAGAAGAAAAAATCAGAAACAAATGAAAATAACACATTTATTATACTTGCAATTGGATTTAAATAGTTTGATCACATGGACTTCCAGTTAATGGTTGCTTTTGAGACGTCAACTAATGACAACAGTACATATAAACTAGGGGTGATCTTTTAAAAATTTGAGGTGTAGTGTATGTATTATGACTCAAAGGTTAGAGTCCACCATGCCACACCCTCTTCCAACCAGATGATTCTCTTTGGATGAGATGCTTTTTAGATGAGAAGTTTTACATTCCTTCTTGGAATTTTTACAACCTCTATCTCACAAAACAACAATAACAAAAAACAGTGAAGGCAATCATCAGCCTTCTGGGTTTTTCAGGGGTGGGGAGAGTGAAGTCAATCAAATAATTTCCTTACAATATTTAGCTATATTGTAAAAATTATATAAAAATTACTGCACACTGGAAATTTTAATCATGTTTATAATTGAAAGTTTAAATAGGCAAAATATAAACTTGTAAAGGAAGAGGGACTATTGAGAGACATAACAAAAATGTGGGCTTACTAAACATTTTATCGGCTTAAATTCTGTCATTAGAGATTTATTCCTCTGAATATGGAGTTTATTCCTAGGGTAGTAAGTGGTATTTGGTGAGCTGAAGTAATATTATCTCACCTTTCAGGGTTCAGGGCTTGATATCTTTGACAGGAAGTCTAGGGTGCCCCATGAGTGGTGAGGACTGGTGAAAATTGGTTAAGGATGGTAAGAAAAGCCCAGAGAAACTTACCAAAAATAAAATGCTCTTTCTTCACATATTGGGGCATCAAGTAATTATGAAGCTACCTTCTTATTACTATTCCACTGGATTGTTTCAAATCTTAGAATAAAGGATTTCAATAAGACTTAAAGAAAACTTCTGACTACAAGGTGCAGTTATCTTTGGATTAAGCTGCTGAGGAAGACTGGAGGATTTTGCACATTATAATTAACTAGAGGCCCGGTGCATGAAACTTCATGCACAGGGGTGGGGTTGTCCCTCAGCTCGGCTTGCACCCCATTGCAGTCCTGGACCCCTAGCTCCTTACCGCCCACCTGCAGCAGAGGTGGAAGAGGCTCCCATCACTACCATTGAGCTCACCAACCATGAGCCCGGCTTCTAGCTGAGTGGCACTCCCCCTGTGGGAGCGAGCAACCACTAGGGGCAGCTCCTGTGTTGAGCATCTTCCCCGTGGTGGTCAGTGCACATCATAGCAACTGGTCATTCTGGTGTTCATTCAATTTGCATATTAGGGTTTAATTATATAGGATATATATATATATATATATATATATATATATATATATATATATATATATCAGTA